TCAACTGCGCACTGATGATGTCTCCTCGTATGGTGACGAAACGTTTGCAAGCCAATTGCCAAGCTCGGCGAACAGATCAACAGCCACCTGATCAACAACCAAAAAACGCTTGGTTTTGATGACAGCTGCACGATGTGGTATGTGTTAGTCCATTAGTGCTCCCGTACTGAGAATCATACACATTTGAAAGCAACTATCGTGTCTGCCAACCATTACATTGGATGCCCATCTCACGTAGACACATCCCTTCGTTTTAGTTTTAGGTTCCGGGAAACCCTACACGCTCAAAAAGTACCGTTTGGGAGAACATAGTTCCAGATTAAACAATGGGTGATTAGTGTGTAGCACAGTCTGTTGAATAAAATCGTAAAACAGATTCAGGTAGGTCGCTTGGTAATGCCCAAATGCATCCCCATTCATTGTGCTTACGTCACACCATTGTGTGCCAGATTGGATGATTCTTATCTGAGTATATGAGTGCAAACTCAGTTCAACCGTTGTATTCTTGGTGTGTGGGACCCTAAATTTTCATGCCCATAAACATCACTGTTTACCATTCTTAGCCTAAAATCAAGCAAGTCTATCCGTGTTCTTCGGTTTACAACATATACCCATTGTCTCAACAACTTCATACAGGAGAGTATCGGAGTATGGTGAACTGGAACAAGTCATCAATTCCGATGACCTCGTAGGAATGCGGTTGTAGGGTTTGGCGATACGCGCCAGTTTCGTACCTACAACATGCACTTGCTTGCAATTTATACCTTTCGCAATGGATAAATTAGTCGGCTCTGTAAGTGGATTATGCACCTATGAACACCTGCGTATATTTCGTACTTAATGGCTGGACACAAGCTAAATTGGTTTCGAAATACCGAAAAGTTAGAAACAAAACCAACTGAAATCGGGAGTATGGGTTTTTTCCTTCATTCTGAAATAAATGAAGATGCACAGTGCTAGGTGTGCTTAAGTAGTACCGTGTAAGTTGGAAAATCAACATATAAACCACCTATGACATATTTTGATGTCACTGGCATCCACTGCTAAATCATGCATTGTTCATGAGTGGATTCGTGGATCCGCTTTCATATCATGTACGGCAGTGAAGCCTCGGTGTTGAACACTGATGTCATACTGTCGATGAGGATGATGCTGGTGAGTAATCTACGCGCATTCCCGGATTTCTGGGTCTCTTACATTTCTTTAGCTTTCCTACTCCATCAGACTACACATTCAGCACGCACGCTCACCTTCACTTGACGCCTTGATAGTTCGTCCGATCAAAATATGTTCAGGACCTGCGGGGATATTCCTCCAAGCACTGCCACTCTTCGGTCTGATGTCCAGTGCTTGAATGAGCCTGATAGGCAACACCACCCAGTACTGTGCAAGGAGGTGGAGATCCCATCGCAGTATTAATGCATGTCTGACGGGGAGCAGTTGGAAACGAATCCAGAAAACAACTCTGGTAAGATTGGCTCCAAAAAACGAAGGGAGAAGGGACTCCTGACGAGTGCGTGGTCGGAATCCACAAATGTGTTCCAAGACGAGCGGCAGTCGGCTATAGATCAGCGTCATCGGTAACTGGTGGCAATGTGATCGATATGACTTCGTAGCCGGCACGCTGTTGGAGGACACCATGAGGCTAGATGACTTCGGCTATCTCGGGAGTTAGTACTGTATAGAAACAGCCTGCAGTCTGCATACAGCTGAAGCAATCGCGCACTATTATTCGCACGTGCCGAATCCAATCGATTTCGACCTCCTGATTGATCCCCAGATGCGCTAAGGCTTGCATCTAGGTCTCCGGCAACCCCGACACTTGAACTTTCAGGTCGCTGCAACAGGGCATTCAGGGCGCTATAAAATTTGCCTTTGATGATGTCAGAGCTACAGTCAGTTGGGGTGTAAGTAGACACCGAAAAGGCAGCAAGAAAGTTCCCGCTTATGAGACTACTTCTCGTCAGACGAACCGCAGAGGCGAACACCAACAGGTATTGTCAAGCAAAAATCCTTCCGCCCAGTGACTTAAGACGATACCAACCCCTGCACATCCTGCTATAGCAGCGTGTGGGTCGCCAGGGCTGCGCGGCCGGAAGCGAGTGGAGAACAATGGGGCAGCTAGCTCAACCACTGTGCTTGCACCTTGAATGCTTGCTTCTGAGACACAACACATATCGATGCCAAGGGAGTTCGTATGATCTAATGTTCCAAGCAGACTCAGACAATGCATCGAAGATATCAATAAGCAAACCCTAGAAGTCTTTTGACGTCCTCAGCGAGCAGCTGCCAGGTTTCTGACTGGTATAAGTTAGAGCAGGTCGGAGCCAGATTGGCCTTCACGGATCTGCCTCTCTTTTAGTGCATCTTCGACGTAACAGCTACCAGAATGATGCCACGGTGGTTTTCAAACAGCGTCCGCGTACCTTTTTGAAAACAGGAGTAACTGTCATCACGCACATTCTTCAGACACTTTTCATTCCACATCACCCGGATGAGGCTTGCTAGATAGGTCATCAGGGTTTCGCTGCCTTCTTCGAAGAGGGCTGGATAAAGACCGGCCGGTTCAATTTTCCGAGTAAAATATTTTCAGAAGTGCACAGGTACCTAAACTTTTCTGTGAAACTCGTGTTATGCAGGAAACAACAGGGTGAATTCCGGGGATACGGGCACTAATCAGATAAGTAGGTCGGCGGAGTTAAAAACTCCACCAAGACGACGAAAGGTACAGGATCAGGACCGTACACCTTATCAGCAGCCGCTCTGTCATGGTTTGTACAACTTATCCTGATTAACAAGAGTGGTCT